CATGGTGTGGTGGTGAACGCGTTACTCTCCGGAAAGGACAATAGCGCGTCCGTTCCCCACCGCAGACACCTGCAGTCCGGAGTTTTGCAAATATCTCAGCATTATAGAAGTTATATTTCGCAACATACCCTGCCGTTAAAAAGAATAGGTAGTAAATAAAAAGGTTAAGATTGTGATTATAACTATACCCTCAGCTTAACTGATGGTATCAAGTGATATCAAAAAACAAGCGTTCACGACGTCGTGATAAGGTTTAAAACCTTTAGCATCATCAGCATACGGTGTGGAAACGTTCATCTCTATCGGTTTTGTTCGTTGTTCGGGCAACTTCTTATGCACTGCTGAGCATCTATTTTTGGTTGCATTATTTCCTTAGTATCCGTTTCGGTCACGTTTCCAGCGACCGTAATTTACTGCCAATCAGATGTGCAACAGTTGTTTTGCTTGACTAACATTACACTGTGAATAGACTGGACAAAAAACGTTTGCCAAATTCGCAAACTTTCCATACTCTTGGGAAGTTTCTACCGTAGTTTCACCAACACCACGGCTTTTTTGAGACAGAGTTACACCGTTTCTCGAAATTGTCATCAACAGATTTTTACAGTTGGTGAATTGTAGAACAATACATTATTCGCGAACTTCTTCTTCGCTCTTCCTTTCACGCCGAATGGCACCGTCTTAAAGAGTGGCAGTATGATGCCAGATTATCAAATCTTGGACCTTCTTAGACAACTTTTCGGTTTTGTTTGTTAACTAGAAATTCTTTTTAACAGAGACTCTACTAATCACACATTTCAATAACAGGTGATGTCAAGCAGACTTACGCAATAGAAGCTTACTACTGATGCTAGATTATTCAGAGTTTTTAACTAGTTACGAAGTCAAGTAATATTCGGAAGCGTTGAACAGGATAAAGACACTATGGCCGTTATCCTTTGGTAATTATAACGACCTATCATTCTAATAGTTATGAGCATTTGGTGCTTTTTTTGCACGTTGATGTTTTAGATTTCTAAGCTATAATCCGGTCATTCACTTCAAAGTCATCACCGTTGTGCTTTTGTGCCCTATGTGTACCTAGAAAAGTACTTTGTCGAATTTTAACTTTCCCAGCTGGGTGTTCTTCTTTGCGGACACAAAATGGTCTGCCCGTCTATGCTAGTAACAATAAATCCAAAAAAAGTTATGTGGTTTTGAATATATTGCCACTTACTAAAAAATATTAACATGAAACTTCTACAGTATCTCCATCGTTTGTATTCAATAGTGAAGGTTTGACGTTCGGCGCGAGTGGGCATATTTCGATCGTTTATACCACCCAAAAGAGAAACTGGTTAAATCTTCAAGAGAATTCGTTTAGGTCTCCGCTTTGTAACGTATAAAGTGTTTCCGCTAAAGCTTAAGACCGAAACGGCCTAAGGTAGCCTTCATTTACTGTCATTCACTTTTAAAAGACTGATGATCTCTTTGAAACTTCGTCCTAAAAAGAAAATAAGAAAAATTGAAACTAAAAAGGGGATTTTTACAAGAGTGGGTTGTTGGTACAGTTCATGCTACTAAGAAGCTTTTTTGTTTCTTCTTGTACATCTATTTTTGGAATTTCTAATCTTCGCATAAGGTTCGTATAAAAGTTACCAAGAAGGAAAAGGATCTACAGAAGCTCATTTTGTAATCAACAAGACTTTGTTAAATGTCTCCATCAGTAATGGATATTGGCAATTCTGATCGTTTGTTGCGAGTGCCTCAATATTTTCGTTCTTACCTGAACCTACCAACTATTTATTTTGCCGTTTCTCGTGCGGTTAGCAAAGTTTCTACCGCTGTTTATAATTTTCTTCTGCTGCTTTGAACTCACATCAGTAACGAAATATGCCTTAGCATAGTTAGGATAAAAGTTTTATTGAGTTAAAAATAGTCAAAGTTAATTCCATTCCGGACTGATTATTCGACTCCTTAATTAGTGCCACTATTTCATGGACTTGTCAGAGGTGCACTGCCATATCCACTCGGTCCTTGGTTCGATCCCCTGCCAGAAATACTCGTATCTGTCCTGGATTGGCCTACTTGATATATCGGTAGGCTGCCGAAAGTCACCGTATAAGCCAGAAATTCATTTAGTCATCTCCATGGCATTTTATGAAGCACCTCTCGGGGATTGATTAGTGCTGAGTATCCTGTTTTAGCGCATACATGAAAAAAATCAATCAATTAAAACGGTAATAAAGGCCCCATAGGATTCTTTAGGGTCATGAAGCTCTTTTTTTAATAAAAAGTTTTTCCTTTACGTTCTCTAAATCTAATATTCAGCTCGAGCAGCTGCAGTTCTGAATCCGTTCGGAATGCTGCCGTTATCATCTCAGACACCAATCCGAATGCCTGTTGAGATACCGTCGAATCCTCTAGCACTTCATAAAAAACAAAGTAGACCTACCTTTACTGGTCACCAGGCGAGTTTTATTGCTTATTAAAAGATATATTAATGTTTGAATAAACGAATCACTTCATGGAAGAATGAGCGAATGAGTGAGTAAATGAATTAATGAAATGAAGAATGAACCCAAGAAGGGGACTTATTATAAATGTTTATTGCCATATTTTTCTTTGCCACAGAACTAAAATAACACCGAGTACTATAGATAAAATTCCTTTGAGTGAAAAAGAGAAGGATGTAATTTTTCAACAATAGTCCTCGAGCCTATTGTTATTTTTCTGAACAATATATACTTTTTTTTCTTCTCTCTTTTTCTATTGGTTCTGTAGCCTTCAGCACAACACCCATGAGAAATCTTTAGGAAATGGAATAAAAATAAACAGAAACCTCAAAAAGTTCATGCTATAAAAATGTCTTTATATCTTTGTTGGGAAGCTCTTTGAAAAAGTTCCTTTACCGTGCAATCAAGAGTTAGCTTTTTGCAAGTAAGGAAAAAACTGTCATTCTCTTCAATTCTGATAGGAATCTTGTTATGATGGAAATTGTTTTTAGGGCTCGTCGTCTTGTATAATCAAAGCCTTTCATCGTTCCTCATTACTTATTATACAGCCTAAAAATATTTCAATAAAGACATCATTTACGCAATGCACCATTTTCATGAGAGTTAATGATAAGCCATTTTATGTTAATCATTAGATATCATTGAAAATCGTCTCATGTTCACTTAAAAACTGAAATAAAAAGACATAACGTCTATATCCGCTTCAACGTCGTTTCAGATTTTCATGTTAGAGAAAAAATTCGAGCAAACTAAATATCTTGCCGGATCTGATCGAGCTCAATTGGCGCAGGAGCTTAGCATGAGTGAAAGTCAAGTAAAGGTGAGCGCCAGAGAATTCTATAGAGGGAAAAATATGAGTGAGCAAAGGAACTCGTCTTTTTTCTCATGTTCACTGTAAAATGAGGATAGATGTAGAAATTGCAATTTATTTTCAAGTCACTGGTCGGTTCGTCTGAAAAGCACAAGAGTGACCGCAACATTTTTGTTTATTGATAGCTGTTACAAAGTAGCCGAATTTCTTATACCTGCTGAGTTTTATTCAATGCTACTTTATTTGGTGCCGAATTAAAAAATAAGTGAAAAATAATTTTAAACCAAGATGCAAATGGTCGTTAGTTTGGTCCGGCGCCTTGAGCTAATCTATCCGCTCATCTCTCCTTTCATCGTTCCTCATTACTTATTATTATACAACCTAAAAATATTTTAATAAAGACGTCATTTACGCAGAGACAACCCTTGAACGTTGGTAGGTTACATCAAGTCTGTGTATAGGTTGGGCATGCATCTAATCACCTCTACAATGTTACGAAGAGTCAGATGCGTGATGCACCACTGAGGAATCGATCGATGTCGAAGCATTTATCCTTCTTCCTCTAAAGTAACATGAAAGAGCAAAACGACTTTAAAAATTTGATGACATGATGGCAGTAAGCGTTGAAATTCGCGGACAATTTCCAGTCTCTCATCAGTTAAAGGTCTCTGCACTGTTTCTTCTTGCTCCTTTACAGGCATATTACTGCTTTAAAGTTATTCTTTATGTAAATTTTGCTGGAAGGAGGTTACTAATTCTATCAGTTTTGTTGGGATATTTTATTTCTAGTCCATGCGTAGCTCAGCACCTAGCACCACCCGCACAACAAGCTTTTTTCTTCCCGTTACAAACAATTCCCTCTTTTTTTTTCTTGAACTAATCCCTTGTACCTGTGAATAAACCAGTAGATCACTTTTTGCACTCTTTGTAGTTTAAATGAAACTAGAGCCGTTCCTTGATGAATTCCGGAAATTTAAGAAAGCTTGAAATTTCTTAACAGCGCTGTAATGACGTCAGTTGCTCGATGACGTTTTCTTTGTGAACATTGCGCAGTATTTTGGAGGAGAAAAAAGTTGAGGAAAGAAGCAGTAGCCCAAAATATTCTGATTTCTCTTCGCAAAATTTTTCCTATTTCAAGTCGCGCATACAAATTTGCTCGGATTTTTGATTATTGATTGATTAAGATGTCCTTGCCTTTTCTCCAATGAGAATTCTGAATAGTATTGCAATTTGATGGAGGACTCGTCGGCATTCCTATTGTGCTTTTGTTCAACTACGATCATCATATTCTATCAGGAAATCGAATCGATTCAAACAGTCATAAGGCGACGATGATTGTTGTTCGTTCGCAACACCACAAAGACTACACTGTTTGCCCGAGTGAACCGTAAAATCTCAAAGCTATGAGAAGAATAGGGAGGTAAAGAGAGAACGATGGAGGGGAGCTGTAAGGTTAAGGTCATAGTCGATCACCAGTATTCACAAACTTGAAACAGAACACAATGTTTAGTTTTGTCGTCGAATATACACGGGACCGTAACTACTTTAGCAATTTCGGTGAGTACTACGGGAGATGGTGGCTCACGCTTATAAGGAAACCCTAATAATTTTCTGCTGCACTATGAAATATTGACAATTCATCGAATCCAGCTGACGATTTTTTACGAAAGAAAGCAAAACGGTGGAAATTAATTTGAGAAAAAAGAAGTACAACTTCGGAAACGGACTTCAGGGGAAATAAGAATGATAACGAGACCTGTGATTTTAAAGGACAAGTAGATGTTTATAGGCGAACAGTAGCATAAGAGCCTTTCTTGTCCCACTCTGAGATGAATAATATTGAACATTTCATTTGGATGTGAATTGCAACATTTCATTTGGATTAAACTTCATTCTGAAGAGTTTCTTTCGGCTCTGATGATCTCTCACTGTTTTTCATATCTATGCAATTCTTCGAAAATCCAACTATATTGCAATGTTATTGAAGATTTCCTATTTGCGCTAACAGTGTCCACATAAGTGGGTTACCGTAATCATGTCCTTTAATTTGATTTGTTTCGATTAGTAATATGGATGGATGGAAGGAAATAGGCCTACTGAAAGGAGGCTCATGAAAACTCAGTGATAGTTATTTCAAAAATATTACGAGGAAGATTTTCTAATTCGAGGACTTTTCTTTAAAGAACCACCGTCACTGAAAGTACCTTAGTAGAAGTAAGTGTTACTTTTTAGGTTGTAGTTTAATGAGAATATACATAATTTCTTCCAGTTATGGTATGGTTTTTGTTATCATCAGATCATCAGCCAATGTCAGTAAGGAATAACAACTTAACGACACTAAATTAACATTAACGATATTTTTTCAATGAAAGTTAACCTACATGCATGGAAAATCATTAGTGATTCTGAGCTGAACAAATTTAAAATTCGTCTCTCATACATAATATTATACAGTATACATATTTACATATTATTTAATAGATGCCACAGCACCCCGTTTCGCAATAGATGACGCTTTTCACGAGTTGATGAAAGTGCAGAAGTGATCTTTGTTGTAACGGTGGTGGAAGTAGTATTAGTGCACCGGTTGTTTATCATGCCAAACACAAAAGTGCTATCATAATTGTTATCTTAATCCTGGGGTTTCCAACAGTTCACCTTCACACACCGGGCAATCAACCCCTACTTCTCTCCACTCTCCCGATAAGGGAAGTTGATAAGACGAGGGTTGAAGCACAAATTTCGCTATTACTCAAAGGTCCATCGTCTCCATCACTGATAAGATGTTATTGACATGGATTATCTTTGTAAGCGCCCTAGACCGTATACTTTTTTCAATTACCAGTAAAACGAGTGCCGAGTGATTTATATGTTTGTTCGTTTACTACAGCAATTCAGCATAATGTGCTTTTAGTAAAATAACGACGTAATTCATCGTATTATACATTTTCGTCAGTAATTATGCGATTGGTACACAATGGGTCGGGTTTAGTTGGCACGGTACCATGCTGTCTGGATGGATGAGAAGAAGCGTTCCAGTCATAAATTTCGTATTCATGCCCAATACGTAATGAGGACGAATCCATACATAAGACGTAAAGTCAGTGTCAGCTGGCTCTGTCGATTATGCGAATTTGGCATATGTAAATGTGTATACCGGTATATATGCATGTAAATATGTACATATGTATATACGTGTCTATATGTGTCTCTATATGACTGTGCAATGTGCAATGTGTGTATCTCTGCCGAACAACGTGCCCCTTGAGACAAATTAAATTTCAAATTTGGCGCCTCAATGACTGCCAATTGACTACGGTAGCGCTCAAGTGCAATCATAGCGTCTCACACGACACTAATGCGTCTTCTCCAAAAAGAAAATTTTGTCCATAATCAACCATGGTTTTTCAGTGAAAAGTTTTTTTAACGTTCTCTAAAGGTTGGTAATATTTCCTTTCTGTAAAAGTGATCGATTTCAGTTAGTGTACGCGTGTGGAGTTGAGGTCAAAATAAGTTAACCTCTGTATCCACCACCATAGGAAGTACACAGAACCATTTTCGAACTGCGATCCACTCTCCCAACTTGAGGGATTTCCTTCTGAATGAATGAAAAGGTCCCATAAAATTGCTTTCAATTTTGAACACGGTTGGTAAGAGGTGAAATTTAAGAGGTCTGCACCTGAAATGAAACACCAATATAACCCCGTTGTTATTTGAAAATACTCTACACTTGTAGTGAAATAGGATGGTATGGTGTCGTACTCGCGGTCCAGTTCTCGTAGACCATATCACTTTTTTATATACCAGTAAAAGTATAGAGCGTTCAACGTTGACCTCTTTTCCTCCTTGACGAGTTCGTTGTTGTTAACAATTTGCTGAACTAGGGGTGTTGGAAAGCTTGGCTAGCCTGGCCACCAAACTAACGATCATGTGTACTGCACGACACACCTTCGCACTAGGTTGTATACCAGTAAACTTTCGCAAACCGTTACAAATAGTTTGCAAAGATTAGATAGATAAAAGTAGCAACTGGTCAGATCTAAACGACAATCGATATTATTTGTTTGTAATTTTAGAAACACTTGAAGTTGTTCCTTTTGACGATTAGTCAAAGAGTAGCATTAGTACAATTTTGTATTCAATTTGGAAGGAAAAAATTAGGCATGCATTTTAATCGCAGATGGCGACGACGATAAATCAATACCAACGGTTTGCATTAATCTTACTATTGTGTGAAAGGCTGTAACATTTCACCAGTTTCTTATCAATAAGCGCCACCACAAATTTACTGAAGGAGTAAATACATATTGTTAAACTGTAAATACGGCACACACCGTTTGACTTCTACTGACTACTTATTATTTTTTCACGGCAGGACATTTTGTGAAATGCAACCACAGGAAGACCTGAAACATGAGCAAAATTTGGACCCTCATGTAGGCTTCGAACCCGCTATTACCCTTTCCGGTGACTCACCTGCAACTTACCACACCAACCATGGCTCTCAGGTGGGGTTGTTCTATCTTAGATTCCTTGCGGTTGTATTTCACACGGTATCCTAGCATGAAAATAGAATAGGCAGTAAATAAAAGCTAGAACCTTGTGATTTAAGATGTGATTTAAGATCGACTACAGCTTAAGCTCAGCTGGGTTCAATGTCGAATTGTAGCCCTCAGATGATTTCCGTTGACGGGTGATTGCTGGTGGCACCGTTTGGCTAAGAAACTGGCTGTGAGAAGGGCAAAGCTAGGGCCTCGGTTGGTACAGTGAGCAACACATGATCTCCCGAAGAGGGTAACCGCGCGTTCGAAGCGCACCTGATGTGACTTTTTTCATAACTGAGCATCCTATTAGGTCTAAGTAGGATTTGAAAACGTTTGAGACTTGAAACATAGGAAGTTCATGCTCCAGGTTGCGCTTGTGGAATGTAATTCTTGTTCTAGGTTTGGTTTCAAAATCGACGTACAAAGTGGCGTAAGAAGGAAGCTGCCGATAACGCTCTTGGTAAACGTCAGGAAGATCTGAAATCACCGTCAGAACAAATTCAAGCGCTACAAAGTATGCCGTTCATCGCTTCACCGAATTGAGCTCGATCCAAATCAAATCTAATCCTGGGTGCAGCCTTTGATTTCTAAGACGTTCTCCTAACCACACATTACACCTCGACGAGATTACTGCATTTCGAATAGAGCGCGATCAGATGTCATATGGTCATCGAATCGTAAATCGACTAAAATCGGCAAATTATAAACAGCAAGAGGAATGGTGGTTTGTTCGTTCAGTACCAATATTTGCTTATATATAGATAGGTACGATTCGATGGCTCTTTTTTAAAAGTTTTTCTCTTATTTAACGAACCCAGTGTTCTCTGAATGTAAATTTTACATCGCATTACAAATTTTCCACTATGGTGAAAATCCCTACACCATCGAAATCCATCTAGCTGTATTGTGTCTCATGATTTCCTGCCAGTCATCAAAGCAACTACGCAAGAGAGATTTCCAATAAAGACAGGCAATATTTCCTCTTTCTTAACCACCAATCAATTAGCTATTCTTTTCAGGATCATTTTTCGATTAGAGGAATCTTCATTTCGTCTGTGTGCATGTACATGTGTGTATGTGTGTATACATGTGTGGAATATATGACTTTAGTCTATTTCTTAGCCATTTCAATTTCAATAATATTGCAGCATTTGGAATGAGCGATGCATTCGTTTTAGCTACTCATTTTCTTCAAGTGCTGAAATGACCTATCCATTGACATAGTACACTAGTTTGAAATGCGCGCGCTCGTGGGAATGGCTTCTACCACTTTTGATTTTTGACGTAGATCATCAGGACACTGACAAAAATCCTTGGAGCCTCCATTTATGGGGTAGAGAAAGCTTGGTCAAAAATGATCTTTATCTCTTTAGCTATGTATACTCAACATTCTTTTAGTTCTTAGTGGTTTTAGGATATATGAAAGAAACGTAGGACCACGTGGATCCATGTGATTTCCATGGACTTCACTTCTAAACAAAAAGTTCAGAAGAGAAAGCGTTCGTTTTTTCCGTAGTTATTATGGTAGTTTCTAATCCAATGTATATCACAATGAGTCAGTTTTACGTGTAGGTGAAATGAGACACCTAAAAAAACTAACAATCGTCTTGTCATGCCTTCTCCTTGTTGTCCTAGCCGACATCATGTAGGATTGAAAAAGTGAAGTAGCGTCGTTCTCTTTTTCTACAGTCATGCTCCCCTCTTCCTCGTCTTCATTTTTGTACTGCTCCAAGATATCCTCAACTATATATGTAGAAATTTGTCCTGAGCAGTAAAAGTATACACCATCACTGGCCTTTCTCATGTCCCAGTCCATGATCTCGTTTTATTATTATGTTTGCTCCCTTTCTTCTACACACATTTTTTTTCTTTTTGTCGTCTGCTTGTACACAAACTTCATATACAAAGTTTATATTGTGTCTTAGTTTCTTGGCTATACAAAAAATACATGATCACGTGGTTGATAAATATTTTAATGAAATGAATGTTTTTTATACACTTATTATTTTTTAGGTATAGATATTTTGAACACATCGTATGGCCGCGGCAAGAAATTAATATCGGCTCGGCTGTCGATTTGTGATACCTAACACAGGAGGGCGCTTGTGATGTACTGGTCGGAGGCGCCCTGCAACATACACGTGGAATCGATCCCCGCACCCATGGCCCACCAAGCCCTCCATCCCTCCGGGGCCGGCAAATTTGCACCAGACTTGCCTGAGAGGATAGCAGCACTGGCTCGATACATCGGTAGGCCACCGCGAGTCATTCTAAAGGCCAGATATGCAGTCAGTCATCTCTAAACGATGCTTAATGATGTCCAATGCATGGCGCATCCCTCAAGGATTGATCAACGCCAAGAGCTTTAACATAGGAGTGCCATCATATTTCGTAAGGCCCACACGTGCTAGGAAACAGATCAACATTTTTGGGTACTGATATAGTAGTTTTTCAGTCAGATAAATTGTTTGTTCAAGCTGGAAGAAGGTGCATCGGCACAAGGTATTGGCAGTCTACTAAAGAAAGCCTGAGCTCGATCAACCCCAACTGAGAACTTAAAAGATTTCGTTGTAATCCTTTTTACAACCGGAGTCAAAGACGGCACTTGTTGACTGGTCATTTTGCAAAATTCGAAAACCTAGGCCAGTTTAGAACCCATGATTACCTTTTCCGAGAACTCGTGTTACCAGCTATACTATCGAGACCCTTGCTTTGACTTTCTCTCGGTTAGTTTTTTACCCTAACGGTGCCATCAGCGAATACCCGTCAACTGTAACGTTCCATATCAACGTAACGTTGGGATAAAAAATTGGCCGAAAGAAAACAAAGCAAGGGTCGTGGTACTGAAGTAGGGTAACACGTGAATTACGGTAAGCATGATTTCAAACTGACCCAGATTTCCCAGGTTTTGCAAATATCTTAACATCATTGTGATCTGGTTATACATAACACCTCATCATGAAAAAATAATAGAGTTAACTAAAAGGTTAAAAACGGTCATTCCGATTTGTTGAATCTTTAATCCAAAAGTTTGTAAATAAGCGAATAGCGCTTACAAAAGCATAGAAGCCTTTGCATAAAGATACAAAAAGAAATACATTACTGAATTAGCAAAGATACGAGATGGAAATATGAGTTAGGCTAAGAAAGTAGCATTATACATATCGTTAGCATTATAATACAAACACACACACGCTGCTGCGTGTGCTTCATCAAGGTTTAGAAAGAAAACTGGCCACCAAAGAGTTCGATTGTATTCAAACTACGAAAGTGCTAAAAGTCTGCTATATGGAAGGAGCAAGGTTCACAGTTCTCGAAGTAACTGGGAACGCGATAATTTCTTCAAAGCTGTGGAGTTGAACAACTGCACAACATAACGAACGTTCCTTATCATGCCCGTGTCCTCTTGTAAGAGGGAGCCCTCACAGAAGAGGCCAACGTGGCAGATCGCTTTTACACTCAGGAATCTGATGTGTCTGCTGGGAGTACCACGTGTTGAAGGCCTATACCATAAGGGTATAAGTGGGAGAGGGGCACAACGCGGAAGATGTCCATGACCACTGTCCAGCGTAAGCAAAACTGCTTCAGCTGTATGCCTTTTCTCGTGTGATCGGCAAAATTTGAGTGGAAATGGTGTAACTCATAGGCAGAGGTTTCCTTTCTTTTTCATATATTTTTAAACATGACTGTTACGTTAGCATCGTGTAGATCAGTAGTACAGCTAATGAAGCTCACACTTTCGAAGGAAACCATGAACCGTTCTGGTTTAATATTAAGCAAAGACTAGATGCTCCAAAAGACGGCGGACAGATAATCGAACACGTAGGTTGACGGCTCTAACACATGTTTACTTTTTATTTTCTGCCTACTACAATTTTCACGGCAGGATTCTACGCGAAATACAACGACAACGTTGCTGAGATATTTGCAAAACACCGGATGGTAGGTGTCTGCTGGGGGGTCGAACACGCTAACACCCTTGCCTGGGGCTAACGCGGTCACTACCACACCATGTGGGCCTTACGTTTCGCCTGTCTCTCAGCTAGTCCTATCACTCAGTGCCATCAGCAATCACCCGTCAACGGGATTGATTGGCCGAGCCCATATAGGCATTGAGCCTAGTTAGGCTGAGGCCGAAGTTGAAATCTCAATGTTTAATCTTTATATTCCACCTACTAAAATTTTCATGGGAGTGTATAACGTAATTAACTAAGGCGCTCTATCAATCACTCACGACGAGAACGTCACTGAAGCTTCCTTAGTGAAGCTTTCATTTTTCTTGCAAATATGTGATGGAAGGTGTTACGTGAAACTCCAAATCTACTGAAGTAAGCTCCGAGCAAGACAAGTCATGCAATACATTTGTATCCACTTCATGACAAAATTGCTGTGTTTAAAAAAATGCTCGAGGAACTTGAGGCTCGATTGAAACATTAGCTTCTTTTAGATGTTGATTAGTAATGGAGTATTAAAACTCAGTTAAGGCACAAAATTATTGGTAATACTCATGTTTGTAGCGTGTGTGGTGTAGTGGTTGGAGGCACCCTGCAACACGCACGTGGAATCGATCCCCGCGCCCTTGGTTCACCAAGCCTTCAATCTCATCGGGGTCGGCAACGTGGTACCAGACTTGTCTGGGAGGATACCAGCGCTGACTCGATACATCGGTAGGTCACCGCGAGTCATTGTAAAAGACAGATATGCATTCAATCACCTCTAAACAATGCTTAACGAAGTCGAATGCCTGGGGCATCCCCTGGGATTGATCAATACCGAGAGCTCCATCCTTTATTTTTTTTACTCATGTTTATTTCCTGTATCACCTGTATCACCTGTAGTTCTTCGTGACTCGTCGAGTGACTCGAACGGGCGCCAGTAAATCTTCCATTTTTCCCTGTCGAGTGCAAGAGTAGCCCAGTGGGTTCTGCTCGCTCTAGGGACTCGTCGATCATCATATTTTTCTTCAAGGCTCTTTGTGAAGAACTCTGACCATCGGGTCGGTGGACTTCCTGCAGTACGTTTGACATCCCGAGAAATCCAGTCACTAACGGCTCTTGTCCATCGGTTGTCATTCATGCGAATTACGTGTCCGGCGCACCTTATCTTCGACTGTTTGGCGTACAGAACAGCCATCTTTGATTTTTGATCGCTGACGCAGATCGGAGCTTCGGATCCCATCCCTTACTTGTGTGGAGCGGGATACTCCTAGCATCGTTCTTTCGACTGCACGTTCGATAACGCTGAGTGATTTCTCATCCTGCTTACACAGCGACCAGGTTTCTGACGCATACGTTTGGGCAGGAAGTACCGTTGAGTCGAAAAGGTGGGCACAGAGTCGGGTGTTCTTTGTTCTCTTCACTACATCCTCGATGCTCTTGAGAGCTCTTCAAGCCGCTCGTTTCCTTCTGCTCAGTTCTGGAGCTAGGTCGTTCAACACATTGATTTCCCGACCAACATAGATATAACTGGAGCATTCAGAGATATACGTTCCGTTGAGCGTTAACGGTGCATACGAAGCCAATCCATTCCTCATGAACATCGTTTTTGTGAGATTCAGTCTAAGACTAAACTTTCCACAGGCTTTATCAAAGTCAGCAAGCATACGTTCCGCTTGGCTAATGTTTGATGTTATAAGGACGATGTCATCAGTAAAGCGAAGGTGGAGTAGCTGCCGACCGTCGATTTTCACTCCCATATTATCCCATTCCAATGTTCGCATGACGTTCTGTACGGCGGCGGTAAATAATTTTGGCGAGATGGTATCGCCTTGCCTAACTCCTCTTTTGACGTCAATGTTAATATCGTTGTAGAATGGTGATATCTTGGTTGTGAAATTTTTGTACAGCTCGCGAAGAATTCTTCGTTTATTTTCTAACTAATTTAATTCAACGTCGTCATCGGTAACTGGTATAGAGGGGCCTTGTACTGCCTACTTACTTAACTAGTCAAATGATTCAGTTTCATATATTTTACGGGTACCGCAATTTCCTTCCGTTCCAGTAACTCCTTAAAGGTGATTAATTTCGGATGTGGATTCGACTGATACTTGAGGATCTTTCGCGTTTTTCTCTCACTGATGTGTTGCGTGATTAAGCTTTTCCTTTCTGTGATCTTGTGATAATCGTATTAGAGTGTTTCCAGACGTTCCCCACTGGCGGACGCCAGTTACTGTGGATCTGCAGGCAGGAGGTTTATACTGCCTAGCCAATCCCATACTTCCAAGACAGCAACTATTTCGGTGATAGCAGAGGATCCTACGATTGGTTGACCGTCCGTTCCAAGACGATGAAGCAAGACGAATTCGGTTTGGCGGACTTTTGTTTCTTTAATTTTATACGACCCGTCTTCACGTGTACTGTGCGGATCCCAGCACTTCTCAGATTCGATTTGTTTCCTCGCACCCATCACCAACGAAGGTCTTCCAGCTCTTTTATGTGTGACTCCGGTTGCTGCTTCAGGATCTTTATTTTATCTTGATTGTTGTAGAATGCTGCTGGAACGTCCTTAACTGGATTTCAGAGATCGGTTTTTTTTCCTGGATGGGTTCGGTACCAATTTCCCGACCCCGAAGGGATGAGAGGCTTAGCGAGCCCATAGCTGGATGGGACCAGGATCGTGTTCGTGACGATCGGCATCACTACAACTGTGTTATCCGTCTCCAGGTATGGCCAATAATGCTAAAACATAAGGACCAATTTGTTCACTGCATGAAAACTGGTGCTCGAAATAAGTTTTCAATAGAACTACATCCTACTTCTACATATCTACGTACGATTATGAAATGCATAAATAAATACTCCGCTCACTGTTTAGTATTCCGCTGCTCTATAGTACTACCATGACGGTAGCGGCTTGTGTAGTGCAGTGGTTAGAGGGTGTCCTGTAACAAGCATGGGATCGATCTCTGCGCCCCAGGCCCACCAAGCCTTCCACCCTCCGAGGTCGGAAAATTGGTACCATACTTCTCTGAGAGGATAGCAGCACTGATTTGATACATAAGTAGGCCATCTCGAGTCATCGTATAAGCCAGATATGCATTCAATCACCTCCAAAGACGCTTAATGAAGTCGAATACATGGCGCACCACTCAAGGATTGATCTAGCCAGCCATGAAATAATATGCTCCATTCGAAATACCGTGTAATCACGAGTTCCGTGTTGGATTTCAGCGCATCAGTACGCGATGGAGCAACTGAGAAGCTTTTTGTTTTATAGTTGTTTTCTACCTTTTTACCGGTAGTTGCTTGTTCTTTTGTTTTTATTTCTTCTTTTATATATTTGGGCCTACGTAACTCAAGGAAACGACGAGTGTTTCAGTTTTTAGTTGAATGTCTTGGGTTTGTGGATTGTTGACTCCATAGTACATCAGTTTCACATTTAATTATGTTAATTACTTCCTTATGCTAACTAGTTAGAATTAGAATAATGATCTATTGGTTTATCGGAAACTTTCCTCCTATTTTAGACGCTGCAAAGGAAAAACTTTAGGTGTCTGGCGATGCGATAGCGTCCCAGGATCAGTTGCGTATTGCTCCTTCAGTGCACAGTCGCAAAAATATTGCCCCCAGCCGATGTCGCTCTCCTGAGGGATGGATGTGTCATGAAGTCATATTGTATTCCTAGGGACACAGTCCAACTGGGAAGAGAGCGATCACAGATAAAAACGAATATGTTCATTCCGTTCGTTACGGGCGCGTGTAGCGCAATGGTCGGAAGCCCCCTGCAATACGCATGGGATCATTCCACGCGCCCAAGGCTCTCCAGGCCTTTCATCTCTCCGGGGTCGGCAGATTGGTACGAGATTTATCTGAGAGGATAGAAGCACTGGCTCGATGCATCGGTAGGCCACCATAAGTCACTGTAAGAGCCAGATATACCTCCGAGTATGCTTAATGAAGTCGAATGCATGGAGCATCGCTCAGGGAATGACCAACGCAAACATCTTTATCCTTTACCCTCTTATCCCCAATTTAGTAATCAGTTTGTCTGTGTTTTGTTGCAAAGCCAATCGATAACATCTAAGCGTTCTTACTTATCATGTTGCCTAGTTTGCGGTCGGTTTATCTTGTATACAGCTGGCTTGCTTATTTCTCTGATGGTGTGGTAACTTCGTTACTGATGTGTTATAATCGCCTGTATAATAGACACAGGATGACTGCAGAGGGAAGTGTCTCATCGGCTGTCGTCTCATGTGAACATCGACATAAGAAGAGTTTATTTAAATCGAAGGTATGCATAGTATTCTTTCGTCATGGAATTCGATTAAGCTTTGGTTGAAGTACTTCGATTGTCCGGTTCAGTACTGTTTGACCTTTTCCAGGATGTTCGTAAGAAGTTGAAGTTGAACAAACGTCTATGCGAAGAATGTGAGCGGAATGCGAAGAATGGGATAACAAAGGAACCACCTAACGTATACGATGATCATTTAAGTGTGGTACATTCGCCGTTCATTTATGTTTTCAGGATTTGATTTCAGGATGGAGTGTTCATCTGCGTGTCTTGTGGATACTTAACATGTTTAACTCATTCCAAAAAGCATTGGGAAGCTGTTCGAACCGGGGACAAGCATCCACTGTTGTTCAACCTCGACAACTCCGAAATGCGGTACTTCTTCTTTACTAACTCACCGCTGTTACCAGTTCAATTCGATATCCTTGAAATCTTGGGAAAAATTTCGCTGTTATTACGTAGAAAACTAGCTGAGAGTAAGATAAAACAAGGCCCTAGTGGTGCAGTGTGTAATAGGCGAACCCCCTCCCCCCTCTTCTTACACTTCACATAATACGCTACCGTGAAAAATTGTAGTAGGCCAGCAAATAAGAGATTGATTTTGTGACTTTAACTGTTCTTATCTTAGTTGTCTTCTAGTCTATGTTGTTCTCATAAAGTTTTAATGAGCTGTTAGATTAGTGCAGTATACCCGAGAAAATTCGACCAATCTGTGAACATCCATGAACAGATTTTCCTTGATACCCTTTCTTTTAAAGAAGCGGTGGAATAGCTGTAATGGGAACAGGTTAGGTTCCTGTGGAGCCCATAGTATAAATGTTAAAATTTATTCTTGTTCCTTTAGAAGCGAATCAAATTACTTTTGAAGTAGTCAAGTCTTAAGTGGGCCCAGTTGTTCAACCAACAGTTTCTGTGCTTGGGTCTTTTATAGTTCAATAGACTTTTCGTTACCGATGCAAAAGAGTTAAACATTTAAGAAATGGATAAGAAGCGTTTTCGTTTATATTTGGGTACTTGGATGGTCCGTTCTCACTGCTTGTGCGGGCTTCAGCATAACTTCCACTTTTTTGGAGTTTTGCTGGTTTAGCCATTGTGGTTTCCTGGAGTCCCAAGGTCAATCTAGCTAAAGTCTGCCTCAGGTCGTCACCACCATAGGCAGTCGTCGCGCTTGAGGATCAGAAGGAAATTTGCCGCCATCCGCCTTGTTTAGTACCAGGAGGGTGGTGGATCCCGGTATTGGTTTACTCTTAGTTGGGCTTCCTGATAGGAACGCCGGACTCAGCTTTGGAGAGCCTCCTAGTTGGCGGGGATGAATCGTCACGCTGTTCATCGCATTCGGAGAGCCAGGAACACCTCTTAGCGACGATTAGGCGGGAGACCGTTGGAAGGTTTCTTGTACAGTACTGCCTATTAAAACAGAACTTTATTGCTTATTTAATATTTATAATGGTTTATGTTTATTTAAACCCCTTTCACATACCAGTTTATGGTTAGTCGACTACGTGAAAGCGAATCTTAACGCTCAAATGTATTTTACTAGTCTAAGCTGCTGGTTCTTTTAATCCTTTGAGTTTTAAATATTTATAATTTCTTTCCTGGATAACGACGATTTTTGTTCAGAAGCTGATGAGGTAGAGGTTTCTTCCGTAGAACTCAATATTATCATATATCTGTGACCGGGACTTTTTGAAATAAGTGACAGCTCATAACTGAAGTAAATTTAAGGTGCCAAGCTTGTGATGTCGTACTCAATCCACTAGATGATCCTCAAGACTTAATCAAGTTATTTTATAATGAGTACAGGTATCTTAATAATAGTTTGGTATTACCTCGGTAGCCAATTGGCATGCTAACATGCAATATTTACATTTCCACAGATGCTTTGCAAAAAATAGGCCCGAACCTAAATCGATTAGGAACGAAGTGAAAAAGCAGTTGTCATCGTCTGGAACGGTTGTTCAAGGAGAAACTAAGTTAAGTATCTGTTTTACTTACTCTGAAAACATACAACTTTATTTGAACACGGTTGAGAGAAAGGCGAAACGAAGGACTCCCATCGTGTGGTGGTGATGGCGTTAGTTCCCGGAAAGGGTAATAGCGTGTTCGGTCCCCACCGTAGACACCAGCGGTCCGATGTTTTGCAAATATCTCAGCATCGTTATGGTTTTGCAACTTTAATTCTACTCTGGCTTTAGGTTGAATCTGCACAATTAATTCGAGATAGTACAGATGAGCAAGTTATAGACAGGGAGAATTGTAAGCCTTTGAGGAAACGCTCAGATGACACTGAAACACTTGAATGTATGATTCCTGCTAAGGTGAAATCTACTGCAGTTTTCCACCCTTTTCTTTTCAGTATATTTTTTGTATTTGTTACATTTAGGGATTATCTCCATGGTAGTTTCTCGTATGCTTTCAGGGTCTGATAAACTTGGGAAATACTTGTTTTTTCAACAGTGTAATGCAATGTATGATGCATACTCATCACCTTACCTATTATTTTAATCGATTCGGTAAAGTTAAATCTTTAAAATTTCGTCGGAAGCAAACTGTTATCGTCAACGAAGTAAAGATTGAGCTAGAGGTTTCTATTATTCCTTTGCTTTAACCAGTTTTTCTTACTAAGAGATAATTCCTATACTCTTTAGCCAGTGACTATCAGTGTACCTATGGAAAGAACCCCACTCAATTCAGTTCTTCGAGGATTTATCGCGGAATTCTATTGTGGTGCAACACCTTCACCTGGCCCGGTGTTTTCACAAATATCATGCAAAACTCCGCGTTTCAAAGGATATCAACAACAAGATGCTCACGAATTGCTTAGGTATAAGCTATTTTTTGCACTATTAATTTTCCCAACTACAGTGATGCTGAGATGATTGCAAAACTTCGGACCGCCGTTGTCTACGGCGGGGATCGAACCTCGCTATTACCCTTTCCCGGGGTTGGCGCGTTCACCACCACACCATGTGTGTCTTTCGTTTCTTACTTCGCTTAGCCGTGTTTTATGGGCGCTATTGGTTTTTGTGCCTAGCAGTTTGTTTCACTCTGTTGGTCCAGTTTTTTTTAATTGGAGATTTCCAGTTTTCGGCTACTTTTTCAAATTCTAAACTTTTCGTAGACTTCAGCTTATGATGAAATCTATTCTAAGTCATCTATAACGTATCTTACCTAAAGATCTGCAAACTAGTGGATAGGAACTTTCAAAAGAAGTGCCATATCAAGTGTTTTAACGTAGTGTCCCTAGTCGTAGATTTTCACGAGGAAAGAAAAGCTTCTGACTATATTACTTTTTTCATTATCTGTGCAAGTTGACTTTCACCATGAACAAGCTAAAGTTCGTTTCTGGGCTTAACTGGACTGCAAAGCAAAACTTAACTTTGACATTGGAATAGGAAGTTAGGCTTTGTTGTCATTAGACTTCCAGTGCATTGGTTGGGAAACATCGTATCTACGTTTGCTTGCACCGTTCTTTTATAGATATCTGTTGGATGGTTTACGAAGTGAGGAGCTAGAGATATACAGGTCCGGTATATCATCGTACTTTGGTATATCTTCAAGAGCAAACAAAATTATTGGCCAAGAGACGGTTCTTTTAGCAAAAGGTAACCATATGCTACAAGTTTTTGAAAATTACATCGTTTTTTGTTATGTAATACATTTTGAGTAGAAGACATTGTGACATGTTTTTAGGCTATCTTCAAGCAGCTGGACGGCCTCTTCTTGACATGGTATTTGGTGGTACCCTTTTACAAACGATACTATGTTCCGAATGTGGTCATGTAAGCGAGCGACATGAGCAGGTTCTCCTATCTGTTAACGGACTATGGAAATGTTTTAATCCTCATGGAGATCATTGAACTTATAGCTTCTAATAGAACTGAGCGCAATGACTTATTTTATCTCTTCAATCGGTTATCTCCCTAGTACCAGAATCGGAATTATAGTTCCTTGACCTCTCCATTCCGGTGTCCTTGAACAGCTCTGGTCGCCTTTTAGCCGGACCTTCTGCAACTAGCTTGTCCACTAAGCGTCAACAGAACGGAAACAAGGTTTGTCAATCGTATAATTCTCTTCAAACTTTCTATAAGCATCATTCTGCTTGTTACTGTCTAATTACATACAGTTCTGCAGGTACGACGAAAAGGAAACCGAAGAATTCTTCCTCAAAACAATGAATTAAATGAAGGTATGTCTCTAAGGTATTTTTTGGATCGTTTTCGATACTTTATCTGTGATATTTCTCTTCAAAAATTGCTATAAATTCTAATAATAAAGAGTGCCACCTGTAATCTCGTTAAACTTTAGGTAACTTGATTAGATAGTCGTAAAATCTTAATCCGCTTTGCTTGAGTTCCAAAGCAACCAAATTTGGACGTAAAGGGTTTTCCTCAATTTTCTCATAAGGCCTGTGTCTTCTACTATGTTATGCTCAAAGGGTAATCCATAAAAACTGGGCGACTTCTGCCTATCAAAAGAGCTGAGTACAGTCACAAGTTTTCCCGTACTCGTAGCACGTGTTGATTATGAGCCGACATGCATATAATCCTCATATACATGAAAGAGCCATGAGCCTGTTCATGAATGCAATGAAGTGAATACGGATAGTGTTAGCATAACCTGGATTATAAGACTCTATGAGCTAATTTCCTTACTCCGTTATCTGCTTCGTTTCGCTGTTCTTTCCCATTCAACTCACTACTACGGCCCGAATTCCTCAGAAGTTAATGTTTTATATCGCATAATTATTAGCGCGCTCTAAAAAAATTCCATTTGATGAAATCCCAATAGTGGTTAAATCCTCAAATGGTGAAATGAGCAGTGGTAATTCAATGCCGAGCGACTTTGGGTTCAGTCTTAATTTCATCAGTAACTAAAGCACGTGGGTTTAGGATAATTTCTTGTTAAAGGTGGTGATGAGCAAATTAGTGTTTTCTACGAAAAAATGCACCACCGACTTGTTGCAGGAGAGAGAAAGACTTGGTGAGATTAATGAGAGAATCAACCCAGTGAATACATGCGAGTGAATAAATTTTTATTGCGCTGTATATTCTGCTAGTTCCGTTATGTACTTCGTAGCGCAGTGATCGCAGGCGCCCTACACTACACATGGGATCGATCCCGTGCTCCGAACTCACCAAGCCTTCTATCTCTCCGGGGTCGGTGAATTGGTGCCAGACTTCACATTAATGATAGCAGCACTGACTCATACATCAGTGGATCACCGCGAGCTGTTTCAAAGGACAGCCATGCATTCAATCACTTCCAGTGATGCTTAATGATGTCAAATGCAGGGCGCATCCCTCAGGGATTGATCAACATTCAGAGCTTTATCCTTTATCCTTTATATATTGTAAGAAAAAATATGCTGAAAACGTATTGGAATGGTTCTTTCGAAGTGAAAATTAATTGTTCTACTACAAGCATTGTTAGACACAAGATACGTTTCCTCAATTGATACATTTGATACTATTGGTGAGGAGTTCTTCAGAATCGCAATTGTAAGGTTATGCAGTTGAGTACAAACTATTGTAAGGAATTACGGAATTGTTTGGGTTTTAAAATCAACCTGTAATCGATATGTTAAAACACATAATGAAGAAACTAAGCACATTTTATGTCAATATCACGCCATTCCGTTTTTCAAAATGAAATGGTAGTTTTTACAGAACACCGGTCGTGCTATGAGGAAAACGGACAGTGTTCGGATGATGAAATGGAGCGCTTGGCTGCGGGAATAAACAGGCTAGATTTCACAGTAGGTTTTATTTATACTGTTCGATTATTTGTTCAGTAAGCTTTGTTGGGTTTAATAATTTCTGTGGTATCCTTCATATCTGTTATATGGATAAGATATTACCTTCTGGCCTTCGGAAAATGATTGGTTTCGTGTGGTTCGTCTTTGTATTAGTGCTTTGTTTCTTTCATCGTATTTAGAAATTTTAATATTGTTAGGTTCTGCTATTCCAACTACGGTGAAGTGTTTCGGAATTGTAGGTTTTGTTGTCAACGGATAGTATTTTGGGTCTTCCCAATGCGCCTAATTATATACGTACGCTTATTTGTAAGGTTTGTTGAAGCTAAAACTTTCGGCGTTGATCAATCGCTGAAGGGAAGCGCCATACATTCGACTATATTAAGCATCGTTGGAGGTGGTTGATTGCATATCTGGCCTTTGCAATGACTCGCAGTGGCCTACCGATGTATCCAGCGAGCGCTGCTATCCTCCCAAACAAGTCGTATTGACCCCGGAGGAATGGAGGACTTGACGGGTCTATGGCACGGGGTCGATCCCATATATATTACAGGGCGCCTCCAACCACTGCGCTACACGCACCGTAAGGTTTTGAGGAGCCAATATATGATTTACAACAATAAGCGTTCCTCATAATTTCAGAAAGTTTTCGCTCGTCCACCACCGGAGTACACGAATGGAGATTGCAGTGTTGGATCGTGTATGCTAGAGTTTACTGCTGCTGAAAAGTTAGAAGGCGCTAACGCTTACGAGTGCGAGAAATGTTGTGTTCCGCGTAACAAAAGGGTCTGTTGGTCTAAATTCCAGCTCATTCAATAGTATAATTCTCTCTCACCTTCTTTCTGTTCATTTAGATGAAAGCAGTGGGCAGTCAAAAGAAACGTGTTTGTGCGTTTAAACGTTACCTTGTGTATGAGCCTCCTGCTGTGCTTACACTTCATCTCAAAAGGTTTCAGCAGTTGGAGGGAATGAGTGGTACGATTATAGTGACATTGCTTTCATTTTTTGTTGGGTGAAAGAAACGCATAGCAAGGGCTCCCAGTGATGCAGTGGGTAGCACGTGAGCTCACAGAAGGGGTAATCGCTGGTTCGAAATCCACCTAAGGTTCAGAGTTTTGCTCATATCTCGGCATCCTTGTGGTAGTAGTTCACATAACTCCTTAAAAAATCCTAACCAAAAAAGGTAAATATATAAATAGTATTAACAACTCAAAACCTTTCTTAAACATTAACAAACCCATAACTAATGTTACAGCTTACGATGGTAAAGGAGTAGGCAGTAAATAGAAGTTAAAACATTGTGATTTCGCCTGCAACTTCAGCTGAACTGGGTTCAGTGCCGATTTGTGCTCCCCAGATCATTCACATTGACGGGTGGTTGCCTACGAACCCTTTACTGTGTAGTATTTGTCTTCTCTGTCAGAAAAAAACTTGAAAGGTCGTATTTTTCAACTGCGTTACATTTATATAATTTAAGGACGAACTTCAACAAGAAAAATCAGTGGTCATGTCTTTTTCCCGGTCATGTTTGACATGGCGCCCTTCTGCTGTAGGAATGTTGAGGTGAGCGGAAATGTTTTTGTTTTTTTATAATTTATTTCTACAATTTCTGTCTCTCTTACTATTCTGTCCAATTAAATTTCAAGCTCTTAATCAGTTTGATTGCTTTATTCGTTCTTTTAGCGGATATCATCCGGGGAGAAACGCTTGTTATACTCATTGTATGGTGTAGTCGTTCATTCCGGCGGTCTTTCTGGAGGACACTACATTGCATACGTTAAGAGTCGTCACCGACTGAAACAAGTAGGCACTAAGTTACCATTACTATTGTCTTAACAAGAAAAAAGAGCTTCTTCATGGTGATTTCAGGCGCACGCCTTCTTGGAATCTGCACGATCAACTTGTGTTGATTCATTGTCTTCTCAAATAGATTCTAGTATAGATAAACTTCATGGAGAACCCGAATTGCCGAATGATGGGCAATGGTATTACTGTAGTGATAGTCAAGTATTACCCGTAGCAGAGAACCGTGTTCTTTCCGCTGAAGCTTATATTCTATTCTATGAACGGGTATTGTAGGCAATCTAGTCTGTAGATGTATTCTAGTACTCGTTATGCTCCATTTCCGACCTCTTAAAGGTTCGGGTACTACTTGAAGGTCTTTGAAAGTGTGATAGTAATGAGAATATATTTCTATTAACAGACTTTACATGGAGTATATATTGAAATTCTGTTCGCAATGAATATTGTTAAAGACACACTTCTCATTATCTTAAGGATTTATTTTTTACGTGACTAGAATGTTTCAGGAAATTATCTGATTTTATCAATAAATGTCATGGGAGGCGCGGGGATTACGTAGTGATTGGTGGTGCCGTCGATCAGGAAGCGAAGGCGCTAGTTCGACCCTCGCATCGACGCTCATGCAATCCACGTGGGAACACCTGAGCCAGGCTATCTCGAAGATTGCAAAGAGAATCGACTCGACCCACTAATTCTACGACATTCGTAACAGGAGGATGAAATCGTTAAGCAACAGCCGTACCAACATGCGAAATTTTCGTAGACCACTATGGACGGTAGATGCGGCGGAAAGGAATAGACCGGAAGAACTGTTGAGATCCACACAGTAAATATGACAACGAGTTATTTAAAATGTAAGAAAAAATGTTATTGGTAGGATTGAATTCTATTTGTTGGTTTTTTTGTAGATACACTTTTGTCATATCCTTTCATTGATCACATAATATTGGCTACGCGTCGACTGTAATTGTAGAATTGCTAATCGAGTGTTTAATGAAGATCATACGGAGCCCTTTAAAAGTATGAAAAATAGAAGTCCGCGTAAATGTGGAAATTCCCAGAAAGTAGCGCAAACTGGCGTTGTACCCAGTTAAACTGAAGCTGCATGTGGAAATAACAATGTTGTGACTTTTATGTATTGGTTATTCTTCTTTCATGGGAGAGTACGATGTGAAACGCAAGGGTTCTACAGATCATTCTCGTTGATGGGTGTTCATGCCATGTGTATAGTAAAAAACTGGTTGAGTGAAAGGCAAAGCAAGAGGCCCGATTGGTGCGGCTGATAGCGCGTGAGCTGCTGGCAAGGGTAATAGCGGTTTCGAAACGCAGTTGAGGTTCCGGGTTTTGCTCGTATCCCAGCTTCCTTGTGATTGTAATTCATATAGTACCGTGCTATGGAAAAGGATTAGGCAGTTAGTAGTAGTTAAGAAGTTATTTTTGCTCATTAGAAGATTAATGGTCGGTCGGTAACTTTATAAAATTGTCCATACTGCTCTGTAGAGAAGCCTGAGAGTTGATACTATGCTATTGGTTCACCGTTTCACCATGTTCATGAGTGCGAACAACAAATGGTTCATTCGCCTGGTGCTGTTACTGGAGATTAAAAGCTGCTCTGCATTTTCGCGTGGAGGCACCGAGAAGAGGAAACCATGGTCAGCACTTGCTGACGCACATCGAGAAAGCTGATCCGAAAACAGACATCCGATCTACATGAATAGTTGATGGTGTGTGATGAGGAATGGAAAAAATCTAGTATGTCGTATGCGATTCTTCTTACATATGGATTGCTCGTGGTCTCCTGTTATCCGGTATGGAAAGATTAAGTATTAACTGTAACATTTACAAGTAACTGGTAGCTATATAAGCAACTATATAAGGAACAGAGAAAGGAAAGTGTGGTCATTTTTAGTCCGTGACCTTCTATACAGCGGCTTTATCCCTTCCACTTTTCTCATTCTAACAGGTATCGTTGTTATAAAAGCATTATAATCTTCCATCCTTTGGTTTAAACGTAACGGTAGTATTTAATACGCATATCGACCGGCGGAGAGTTGCTTTGCTCTGCTGTGCTTATCGTGCTTATTGATCGATGAGGCGTTCTCTCATTCTGCTGTACATATGACGCCTAACGATTGGCGATGCGATTGTGCTTTATTCGTCGTCGCTATGAGCAAAATGAGGACATAGACAATGACGATATTGCGAAGTAAACTTAAATTATTAAAATAATTCACTCTGTCTTTACAAAGTGGACGAATTTCCAAGTGTCCCGTTTTAACACTGAATTCACTAAGACTTGGAAGAACTTTGAGGTAAACGTCTATAATCGTATTTTGCAGGTCCCTTTAGATATTAAAGCAGAAAGTTAATCCTAAATTGTTATACGCAAGTTATGAACAAAATCTATTTAAAGGTATGAACTACACATTTTTCGTTGCAAAAATTGTGGATTTTTGGGCTTTCTAAAATCACTCAGCATATATATATACATATATATATATATATATATATATATATATATATATATATATAT